TAACATTATTCCTAAGTAAAGTTTTAGATTGAAATAAAATTTTGCATCAGTTTGAATTTACTTGATTTACAGTTTTTGAAACATTTAATTTTAGTTGGATACTCTTGCAGAACATCTAAAAGAACCTTTATCAGCATCAATGAATCAATGATTAACTGAAAACATGAACCATGACCATTTTGTTATGAGAAAATTATTTTATGAATAATGTTTTTTTCTTATACATTTTGAATTAATTTTTATATTTACATATTTTGAAACAAATAATTGATATGTTTGACCACTCCTGTTATTAATTATCTATTCTGTTGTAAATAGTAAATTTATAACAGAATATATTAGTTTATTATCAAAATGCATTATTAGCAATTTTGTTTTATGTATCCCTTTAAGCATAGTCTATAGAAGTAAACCCTGGTCTGGCAATGTCTTTGTTTGAACTTGAAATGAAGATGAAAAACAAATTGAAAATGCAAAACGAATAAAGCCTCTTACGATTTTCAATAAATTTATTATAAAATCTGTGAGCTTATTGTGCTTACTAATCTTTGTTTTTGAAATCAAAAGAAAGTTGTTATGCCAGGAAAGAATTGATGAATCCTGGATGCCTTTCCTGGATGCCAAGTTTCTTGCTCTTATAAGAATTATATTTCAAATCATATTTCAAATCCCAATGAGAAATGTCAAATTTTATTCAAACTGGAAGAAAGAAAGAATTAATATCCTGTTTTAAATATCTTGTTGCAGATAAAATTTTGAAAGATCGAGTAGCTGCAGGAAAAATTTCTATAGTTATAGGAAAAATTTCTATTAGTTATTTTTAATTTGAGAATTAATTTATTTATTCACAAATGAAAAGTTTGTTAAGCATTTAGATAATTACCTAAAGTAAAAAAAAAAAATACAGTTAAACAAAATACAATGAAATTTTTTTTTTTTTTACAGAGAATTAAAGAAAAACATTTAAGGTATTTGCAGTACCAACTAAAAACTTACCTAAAAAGTCTCATGAAAGTTTGCAGCAGCCAGAACGTAAACATCAAAATATTGTACAAGATAGAGCAAGTAATATAATTTTAAACTCAAAATGCCTCAAAAGTTTCATTGAAATCAACTCTTTAACTCTTTTAACTAAAATTAACTGATAATTGGGTGGTAACTCATCATAAGAAAACGACATTATTCAAAAATATTGTAGAGCATTTGTTAGTTCATACTCATGAAATCATTGCTGATGAATCTTTGGTTTATAGTTGCATTGTACTTGGTTGGGTCCTCCACAGAGACCATCTTTTTTATAAAAAAATTTTCAGGAACTTTGAATAATGTTTTTAATCTCAGACTGAAATACTAAAATACAAACTGAAATAGAGCATTTTAAAGTATGCCTTGAATTAACAAATATTACTTCAAATAAACTTATATATCACTAAGTTTCAACAGAAATTAATTCAACTGCCTTGCAAGCAGGACTATTCACAAGCATTACTTATAACCAAAAAATTGCGAAATTCTTTATTCTTTACCATCAGAAAACGATCATTGTGAAAAATGTTCCATCTTTGAAATTTTACAAACAACTATCACAAGAAAAAAAGAACTGCAGTTGGTTCCTGCAAAAAATAATGCTCCTTTGAAAAAAACACATTCATTGTGGACACACAGTTTCACAAACACACGTTGGATAATCATTTCTTTTGAAAAATTTATAATTTTTCAAAAAGAACGTTTAAATTTATATTAGAAAAAAGAATGATGCACCTTCTCAAATGCTTTTTGATATCCTTTTCAAATATTTCATCTAAGAGATCTTCATCTAAAATATCAAAGTTTACTAATTTCAAATTGTTTTGAAACTTCTCAGAATTTGCCATTTAAAAAAGTTTCTTGTATCTACATTTATCACATGACTAATACTTTTATTTTTTTAAGTTCCAAAAAATAACAATAGCATAGAACAATAGACCAGGGTTTATTTCTATAGACTATGGCTTTAAGTATTATTTAAGTATAAGGAAATTTGTGCATGAAATTGCACTTGATAATTTTCAGCTTATTTAAAATTAATAACTTTTTAAAGTTTTTTTTTGTATTTATTTATTTTATTTTTTTCATTGAAAGTATTTAATATATTAAAATATTAGGTATTGAAATATAGTTTATTTTTATTTTCAAAAATCTGCAAAAAATTAAAAGAAAATCCAGTAAATAGTTTTACATTAAATACAGTACAAAACAAATCTATTCTCTCCCTTAACATAGTATGGCTTCCCTGCTCTTTAAGGATAGTTTTGAATACCATTTTAAATAAACTAAATTTCAATTTGCAGTATATTCTAGAAAGAAATAGATTTTTAAATAGATATTCTAGAAAGAAATATATTCTAGAAAGAAATTTTAACAAAAGTATGAGAAAGAGAGCTATACTTCAACTTTAAGTTCTGAAACTTTGCCAAATATGCTTCTATGAACTTGCTTAAACCCAATATATGTTCACCTTCTAAGTAAAAATAAAAGTCTTGTTAGCCAATTCACTTGATCTTGTTAGCTGGATCACTTGGTCTTGTTGGCTGAATCACTTGATCTTGTTAGCTGATTCACTTGATCTAGTTAGCTGATTCACTTGACCGTTAAACTAAATTAGTTATTTTCACAACATTTCTTTAGCATAAAATAATGAAAATAAAAATAAATAGAAATTATAAATTTAAAAATCTTAAATAGAAATTATAAATTTAAAACTGCTAACTGTTGTTTTTATTGACAACACTTAATTTAATGCTTCTTTTTATCAAACTCAGTTTAGTGACATTAAAGTTTGATTTCAAATCATTTATAAAATTTTGGATGATCTTGAATTTTACCATAACTTTAAGTATAATATGAGGACAATGATGATGATGATGATGATGATGATGATGATGATGATGATGATGACGACGATGATGATGATGATGATGATGATGATGATGATGATGATGATGATGATGATGATGATGATGATGATGATGATGATGATGATGATGATGATGATGATGATGATGATGATGATGATGATGATGATGATGATGATGATGATGATGATGATGATGATGATGATGATGATGATGATGATATAAATTTTATATTTATTGTATAAACTTTATGTAGTCATTCATTTATAAATGAAAATCAAAAAAAGAGAATGCAAAATTAGAGATGATACTTTTTGTTATGATCAAAGTGAAGTTAACAATCTTTTAAAAATTAAAAGTCCAGTTCTTCATAAAAGAAAAAAAGTTAAAGTTGCTTTAGAAGACGCAAAAAATTTAGAAAAAGAAATTCATCCTGCTATCCTGTATTTGCTTCAATGGAATGATAACAAAACCGAATGGAAGTTTCAGAAAGTTCGTCAAGTGTGGTTGCTACAAAATATGTATAATAAATTGCAGGTATTTTAATATTTCTTAATGTAACTTATATCTGCCATTTCAAAAAAAAACAATTTTAGTTTTAAAAAATTTTTTTTTTGAATACTTAATTTCCTTTTCATCTAAATTCATAAATTGCTCAAGTATTTTTTTATTTTTTATAAATAAACACTCAATAATACCCTTACCTTTCTATAAAAAATATACCCTTACCTTTACCCTTACCCTTACCCTTACCCAATACCCTTACCTTTCTATGAAAAATAATAACTCTTATTGCTAATAATAGGCTCAATATTTTGACACTATAATTTTTCTTAAAACCATTTAAATGCTAAATAATCTATTTTATTTCTAATAAATCAACTGGATGTGTGTACATATACATATAATGTATATATATATGTAAAATATATTCCAAATTATTACAAATTGTGCACACACACATATATATATATATATATATATATATATATATATATATATATATATATATATATATATATATATATATATATATATATATATATAATGCAAATTTCAATGAAAAATAAAGTATTTATAACATGTATCAATCGTTATGCTTTATCTACATTATTTTTGTTTTTAAATCTACATGATTTAGAAATAGACTATTTATACAAATATACTGATAATAAAATTATTTTTGATAGTTTTTAGTGTTCTGCAAGCCTGATTTTAGGCCAAATATGTTTGATGTTTCAAATGCCTGCCAGGGATTTTAAATTTATTTTATAAATTTTTTTGGTATTTAAACGGTATATATTGGATTAAATATCGCAGAAAAGGAATCTGTTGTGAAAATAAGAAAATAAATTTACAGGATCTTCAAAAATATGTAAAATAATATTTATGCTCACAACAAGATATTTTAACGAACAAGCTTTTTGATTTTTTAATAAGAAAATCAAAAAAATTAATTCATTTCCAAAGGCAGAACAAAGTATAACCAGGATAGTTTTTATAATAGTGTCCAATTCTTATACAGGACTTAAAAATATAAATATTTTATCTAGTTAGTGACTGGTGCCCCAACTCTTTCTAAAAATGGGACTTTATTACTAACCCAGCCCTGGAAAAATTATAAGATTTATCAGGGGGTGATAGACAAGACTTAAAAAAAATTTATAATACTATATATTATAAAATATGCATACATTTACAAAAATATGCATACATTTACAATTTATATAATACTGGGATATAATACTATATTTTTAAACTAAATCACTTCCAACAAGTTTTATATATATAAGGTGTTTATATATATATATATTTATAAGGTGTTTATATATATATATATGTTTATAAGGTGTTTATATATATATATATATATATATATATATATATATATATATATATATATAGTATATATATATATATATAATATATATATAAATATATATATATATTATAATATATATAAATATATATATATATATATATATATATATATATATATATATATTATATATATATATATTATAATATATAAATATATATATATACATATATTATAATATATAAATACATATATATATATATGTGTGCGGCCGTGGCGCAGTGGTT